AAAAAAAAAAAGAGGGAAGAGACCTCACTCGCAGAGGGGCAAGGAGCTTTGGAGAGAATCGGTGATGGGGTACAGACAGGAGCAGAAGGAAGCTGCAGTCAGAAGCAGGGTGAGGGTAACGTAGGTGGCAGATCCCAAGGTAGTGGCAGCAGTTACCTTCTGGAACCTCAAAATGAAATCACAGTTAAAAAAAAAAAGAGGGAAGAGACCTCACTCGCAGAGGGGCAAGGAGCTTTGGAGAGAATCGGTGATGGGGTACAGACAGGAGCAGAAGGAAGCTGCAGTCAGAAGCAGGGTGAGGGTAACGTAGGTGGCAGATCCCAAGGTAGTGGCAGCAGTTACCTTCTGGAACCTCAAAATGAAATCACAGTTCCTCAGTCTCAGTCATCCTCTGCCAGTTCCAAAGAACTGACTTTTTTCCCGTAAACTATTTTTCTCTCTTCCTTTCAGTGACTGGCTTTTGCAGAGTATGGTAGCATTCCTACTAGTGACATAATTAACTCCAGTTTCAGAAGTCACTGCTGTGGACGTAAAGATCCAAAAACGTACTCATGCTAGGCCATCACGTGAGGGTGTTTAAAAATAATCCATTCTGAAAAATGCAATGGAAGAAGTAAATTTAAATGTCAACGTGCCCCAAAAATGTTTGGAGCAAGACCAGAGTTAAGTTTGCATATGGAACATTACAGGCTACTGTTCAGTAATTGTTGAATTCTTGATTTGGGATCCACAGTGTTAATTTATACTGATGAGCTCTTCATGTTTGTCTGTGCCAGGAATAGTAAAACCTTGAACTTGTTCTTTGACAAATGTTGAAGCTCATGTTCAAGTGAAAGTTCATGGATTTTACGACAAAATGAAGCTGGGCCTGTTTCAAACAACCATTTCTCTGTATTTCCTAAGAATGAAATGGCTAACAAACATGGCATTATAATGTGCAATCATAAAATTCTGGAAACAATTGTGATATTTAATGGTTGTTTATTATTTGTATTTATATTTGCACATATATAGTGGAAGACAAAAGTCCTTCCTCAATCTTAGACTTGGCAGCGGGTGCTGCATCTTTTATCTCTTACCTCATATGCTTCATCAATTTTCCTACCTGTTCTTTCTGCCACATGCATGGGTGAGGTATTTTGAATGACATATCCAAACCTTTCAGTGTCCTATGCATGCCCCTCGCATTACAGTGGTTGTAAAACTAAAGCTTACTCATCACTCACCAGAAGACGGTAACGTGCCCCTTTTAAAGGGGGAGAAAAGGAAAAATACACTTGCATTGCCCTCATGCCTGACTTGGAAACCTACTAAATGCTCAGTCTCCAATTTTTATAATGTTTTTTTCAGTATTCATCTGGAAGAATCTGTCTTTGCAGTGCTTTCAAGAAAGGGTAGTGCCTCCTAGTTTAGAATAATGCATGCTCTCAGTTTTTACAAATTTCATTGGTCCTTTCAGTGTCAATCTTGGCGAAAAGCATAGGAAGCATTTCAGAGGCCTTCTGTTTGGTTCAATTTAGAATTGGAGTTGCAGCGTGGTATTTTGTAGAGCGTTGATTTAAGACTTTGCCATAACTAGAGATTTTAGCGACTCAGCTTTCATATTTGAACCTGAAATGTTAATATGTTTTGCCTACAGTCAGGTAATGCATATTATTTATTTGTATGTTAAATATACCTTGAACTGGGAAAGGCACTTATATATTTATTTTTAACTGTTAAATAGATCTATTGTAAGAGAATTTTATTTTCTGTTTCTTTGATACTTGCTTTGCTAAATATGAGGGTTCTCTTTATTTGTTCAGACAAGATGCTAAACTGAGGTTTCCCTATTAGTAACGATGTGTTGCAAGTCCTTTCTGGAGTTCAAGCTGGATGATTTTGATGTCCTTACTTTTTTCAACAATCATCAGTGTTTATACATTTTTTTGCAGGGTGGATTGTGTATTTGGCTTCAGAAATGTTTTATTAAATATCCTGGGATCAGAGGTGACTTTACTGTCTGTAGAGCAGACAGGGTATGTGTGTGGCCTCTTATAGGCAAATCAACCAAGTTAAAGACTTTACTGAACTTACTTCTGGTCCAGGCTAAAAGCACAGGATAAAAACAGTATCAAAATCTCTGCTGTGGTTTTGTGTGTGTGTGTAACCTCTGCCATTCTATGTTCCTCTCCATCTCTTGTTCTCTCCTTCTTCTTCCTTGAATTTCAGCTGGTCTTCAGTTACAAGTCCTCTGATTTTAATGCTTTGTTTTTTTCACAACCTTCTGTGGAATACTTTTCATCTCCCAACACATTCTTCCTCACTCCACCTTAGTTAAACTCCTTTAATGTATCTCATTCAAAAACAGTATTCCTGCAAAAACAGTAGGATAGTTGCTGTACTCAAATCCCGAGGCAGCCAGGGTGTATTTTCTGCAGTGTATTTCCAACAGAGCACATACTGTTAACGTTAGCAGCTGGAGCCACCCTGAACTGAAGCTTGGAGGACATTATGGTACAGATAGTTGAAGAATCTAGTTGTATTCTCAGGCTTCCTGCGATCACTCCAAATTAGCAACAGAGAAATTCTTCAAGACCTCCTATTTGCTTAGTTGTCTGTAGTATCGTGAGTGACTATAACCAAAGGCAGCAACCATGAGAAAAGGGTAGGAAAAGATGTGGGAAAAGATGTCCCTCTACAAGCTTAGAAGGACAGGAGGAGAGACAGAGGGCCTACAGGACTCAAATTTCCTAGTTTAATTAGAATTGATAAACAAAGATGTATGTTTTCATAAATACATATACACATGTATGTGTTGCTTAATTGTGACTTTTCTGAAGCATCCTCAGCATTGGGAAATAAAGTGGAAAGAGCAACTATAAAAGTAGTATTACTATTTCAATTTTTAAAGTAATATAGGAAGCAAATAGTGTTCTGGATGGTTCTTTTTTCTGCTCGAGTCAATTCACTTTTCCTGGCTGCCTCTCTTTTCTCTGAGTGGAACACTTAGCAATTATTTCTCCTCTGGGAGATGTTAACGATGATTGCTCAAGGATAGCTTACCATGTTACATGATAGCTTACTAGGATATGTTGCATACAAAAGTTGTGGTTCATCAAATGCTTTCCTAGTACCCAAAAGATTTTTGCAGGGTATATCATAAACTTACAGTTAAACTGCCGGACAGAAACTTACTGTTGTCATAAAAATACAGGAAACAAATCTTTACCTAAACTTGCCCCTTGTTATATAGAAAATGATGTTGAGAAAATAGAGACTTGAAGTTGGGAAACGGATACAATGGAAGCAGTAGGACAAAAATCCCACTGAAGATGGAGAAGAGTAAATTTCTGGAGAGCACTGTACGTTGCAGTGTCTTTAAAAGCTGGAGACTGGACGTGGTGTCCTGCAAGGTCCTTTGCAGCCAAGTAGTCCTCTCTTTCTGAAGTCCAAGGAGGCCGTCATCTTGGACTACTGATTCTCTAAGTCCTATTTAGAAAGCAAGCAAATAAGGAAGGTTATGGTTCTGTTCTTTAATTCCTCCTCTTCAGCTGCTTTTCATTTTAATTCTAATAAAAATGCTTTTATTATGACACAGAATCTCTTGTTATTTCCCAAAATACTCCTACAGTGTCAGTGGTGCACCTAGTA